GGTTAGGGGTGGGGCTCGGCGGCTGCTCTGTGGGGGTCCCCTTGGGCCCAAGGGGGGTGTCGTGACCCTCAAACACCAGATCCCGGGAAGGCGGTGCGAGGGAAGGAAGTTCTTGTGTAGGAGCTGAGTGGTGGTGCTTGTGCGAGCTCCCGCAAAGCTTTCTGCTGGGTCTGCGCTATCACTGGTGCCTTTGCGAGTCCGCTTGGGTAAAATAGGGTTCAGCTATGTAATTCTTGTTCTTCTCCACGTTTTGCTTCCTCTGCTCTGACGCAGTTGTAGTTTCCCCCTGTGAGCACTCTCAGTTCTGGCACTTAGACTGTTGTTGCCTTGCCAAAAGTATTGTGGGGTAATTATGGAGATCTGACATGTTAGCGTTTCACTGCTTAATTCAGGTTATTAAGATTTTGAGAAAAACCTGACAGTTTGTTTTGAAATGTTTGCTTTTTTATAGAAACTAAGAATAAAAGCAACTGTATTTTCTGCAACTTTATGTCTCTTTCTCTATTAAGCGGTTTTATTCACTCCAACAACCTTTCTAATGCATCTGAAATCTATAATGTTATTTGTTTTGAGACTTCCATTAAAATAAAGTCAGCACCATGTAGCATCAGTATGTGAAAGAAAGTGATAAGATGCTTCTTCTGTTTTGAGTGTAATCCTTCTGAAAAGTCCAGCAGCCCTAACACTGAGAGCATAATGTAGAGGTTTTGCCAAGCTGTGGGGCATTCGAGGTCCGAAGAGGCCTTGAAACCACAGATGTTTAGTGGTAATTTGGCTTCTGTGCGAGCTTTGGGGCCATAGATTGTTGCCAATAGATATTTCCTTGTTAGTGAGCCAAAGCATACTGCTGTTATCTGAGTATGACAGTGCAAATTCTTAACAGGAATTCACACTAAATTGCATACTGCTGGTTAAGATTAAGCGTACTGAGGCCTTATCAAGAAAGGGCGATTTATTGATAACGTTTCATCATTAGTGCCCTGGGCCAGTGTTAGAATATCGTCTGTTAGGAGTCCTACATGCAGTTTTGCAGATATGCTTGCTATAAAAATTGCTGCAGTCAGGCACTGAGTGAAAACTTAAAATATACTTTGTGTATAAACTGGGTGTACATCTATGTGTAGAAGATGTTTTAGAAAGTAAAATACCTATATAAAAGTGCATATGATATGATTCCTGTACCTAAACCTGTAACACCTACTTTGTTTTATGGAATTTATAGAATAGAATTTATAGAATAGAATTTATAGAATAGAATTTATAGAATAGAATTTATAGAATTTAGTGGCAAGTGAGTGCAGTGTGGAATCTTCCTGGATTTATTTCTTTCTGAACAGACATGTCTTATGCAGAATAGCAGTTGTTGAGTAACAAGGAATGCCCCCGTGAGCCCTGTACTTCCCTTTACTCGTAAGAACAGGAATACGAACCAGAAGAAAGTGTAGGTCCTTGGTACTACTTTTCTTATCTGTGCCTGTTGCACTGGAAGCTAGGGAAGTTTTTTCTTTTAGACTTCAGTTCCACAAACTCTGTCTCTGCTTTCCTCTCAACAAAAGAACCAGATGCGTATTCCATACCTGATACCCTAAGTAGAGGTTTCTCACTCTGTATTAGGAATAATAACCTGAGATGATAGATTATCTGCACAGTAAGTAAGAAATTTATGAAAATATTTTGTGAAAGTTGCAGCAGTAATTGTGAAATCCTTGAAACTTTCAAGACTAGGAAATACTAAATGAACTAGAATATCTGTTGCATAATTTATGGTAGAAAGGAGGCTGCCATTCAGGATTCTGCTTATTTCAAATAAAACTAAACTCGAATATCTGTTTGATTGCAAATGTGCCTGTGATGGAGCAGAAGACCCTAAAGATAAGGAATACATATTTTAGAGTGGAACACTGTGTGTCTAGGCTATATTTGGACAGTTGCAGTGCTATTGAAGTCT